GCCCGGCGCGGGGGCGCGCCTGCCTCCGGGGGAGACCACGAGGTCTAGCCCTTTTCTGTCCGGTGCGTGGGGGAACTCGCTGGAGCCAGCACATCTAGGAGGGCCCGACGTCGCACCAGAGTCAAAGCATGCGCTGCTGGGAAGCTCGGTGAGAAGGGCAGAGGGGTACTTGCCATGAAAACGCCCGCAGGGCCCCTGACCACTCGGCGGGGACGGGGCTCTCTGGTCCCTTTTGGTCCCGGGGGGCCTGGAGTGAGGTGTCCGGGCGCCCATCTCCCGCCCGCTCACTGGGCTGCGCCCTGGAACATCTCTTCTCTCTTGCGCGGGTCACAGAAGAACTGCAGTTTCCTGGGGAGCAGCTTCACGTCCACCGGCATCGCCTCGTACTCCTCGCTGTCGATGCTAAAGGAGCCCCCCGTTCCCTGTGGGGAGGAGACTCTTCAGAACAGCCCCACCCATGGCCGCTGGGATCCGCCGGCACCGCAGCCCCAGGGCCGGTCGTTCTGAAAAACCTCCTCCCCTCAGAGGACTTTTAAGGGTCGGGCGTGGTGCTGATGGAAACAGCCCAAGTCTACTATCCCTCAAAAAGGTTTCTTTCAAGGGGGCCCCCTCTCCTTTGGGGATTTATTTTGGGCCTTATGAAACAAGGTTATAATTTTCAAATGCTTATTGAAGGTCAGGGTCGTATCACGAATCTTTCAGGAATTCATATAACACGCGTTTGTCCTTCTCAGCCCTAACCTTTCTCAAATGGAAAGCGAGAAAGACAGCCAGTTCTCTTCAGGAGGCCACGCATTATTTTTATGGTGGCGCTTTAGGACTTGCCTGGCTTTATACCTAAGGTATAGGGTTATATATATACTAATATTACACATTCTGTAAAACCCTTCCATAGCTCATGCATTTAATTCAACATTTGCTATATTGAAACTATGGGACCACCCACTGTGGGGACACCTTGTTTTACCTGCAGTCCTTTTTGAATACCATAGTAAAATAGCCACGAACCTCCAGAGGCAATCTGTAGTAACTTTTTTCCCACATAGGTCATTCTACTAAGCGTGGCATTTCACAGTACAGAAAAATTTAGAACCATCCTGAAAACTGCTTCCAGATGCTTCTTAAAGTGAAACTGGAATCCACTGTTAACACCATGCGTTGTTATAGTAACCATCTGCATTAATTTACATTCAGAAAAACAAAAGCTCAGGAGACCTACAGATCGATCACTCGACAGAAGCTTGGCTTGACAGCACCAGAAGTCTAGGAGCCCAGCCCTAAATCCGTGACTCGGAGGGGCTTCTATCACCTTTCCAGGCCTCCCTTAATCTAACCCAGAGCCTGGCACAGCGCTCGGCACGTACAAGGTACCTAAAAGGGGTTCTGTTAATAGGAAGGAAGGAGGGGGAAAAGGCAGGCAGACCAGGAAGTGACTCAGAGCTGTGGGACAGCTAAGCCCCGCTTACCTCTGGAAGCAGCAGCGTGCAGCGGCTGGCCCGGAGACACTCGGTGCCGTCAGCACGCAGCCTGGGGTCTCTCACCTTCTTACTTCTGTTGGGACAGGAAAAACAAAGCTGGGAAACCCGTGCTGGCACCTAGATTCGACTGCGAGAATGTAGCAAGTTCTGTCTTTTGATGAGATTAAACAGATGGACTCACGACCTGTTGACCCAGGGGGTCTGTGAGTAACTTTTCCCACAGTTATTCTTGCTTAGCCTTGGGACACGTTCTAGACTGAGACTTATTTACTGTAGAAAACTGTGCATAAAGTTAAGACTGATTTTCTCTTAATTGTTCTGAATTTTTAAACAGTTCCATGTGTACCTAATTCCTGGGCTATTTAAGAAACCCAAATTAAAAAATTGGAATGAAATGAAATTCTTTAGAAAAAAGTACTAAACTTTTGCTATTTGGTACTTCTTGTGAATCTATTACTGGGAGAAAAATTTTATTCTAATTTAAACTAGATGTTTATATGAACAACTAATCTTAGCAGTTTCCTGATGATTCTCTAGATTGATGTAAACAGTCTATTTAGCATGCTCCACCTTTACCCTGACTAGGCGGCTTGGGAGTAAGACACAGAGACACACACACGTACAACCTCATGCACATGTGCCCTTCTGAGCTAGTCACAGTCAGAGGGAAAGGGATGAAAGCTAATCCAGGTAAACTCGTCCAGTCTTTATCATTAACAACAGTAACTCTTTAACATCTGAAACGTCATCAGTTTTCTAAAGCAACCTGATAGCGTTCTAATCAGAAACAGACATTACTTGATTTCACTTCCCGTGGAGACCAAAGGAAACCCTGTTATTGCTGCTGCTGAAAGATGATGACAGCAACCATGCAGAACAGAATGACTTCATCTAATTTAAGCAGTGGAATCGGTTTTTCTTATTTTTGGATGCCGGTATTCTGAAGGAGATTCAAACATAGCTGGTCCCACTGGCCAGACTCTCAAGACAGAGTGTGGCTTCTGGGCGCTTTCTAGGAGAAGAAAGGCTTTTTCCCTTCTATTACAGATACAGCAAGTAAAACGAGGGCTGCAGAACCAGCTAGGCAGCAGCTGAAGACCGTACCAAAGGCAAGAACGACACAAGCTGGTGAGAGACCTTGTGCTGCGGGAGCGGGTGCAGAGTGGAGTAGCCATGGAGACCTGGCCGCCGCAGCAGAAATGGCTAATCCCCAGCTGGGCACGAGAGGGAGCTCCGAGACAAAGCTCAGAAAGATGGCCGCGCAGGTCCCCAGTTGGCATGGTAACACGCAGCCTCCTCAGATGCTCTAGAGACTGGTGGAGTGTTGAGAACATTCTTAACCAATCAAACTCTGGCAGAGGTAGAGCTTAACAAATCAGGACTTGGCAAGGTATTTTGTAGTGGAAAAGGGAGAAAAAGCCTGGAAAGTGTCCAAGGTACTTAATTCCTTTTCAGGTTTTTCATTAATGCCCTCGGAAGAGGGCAAGGTGGACTGACGTGAATCGTAGCTGATGCTGTGAAGTGCTTCACAATGAGAAAGACTTCCTACGCAGTCCCTCACTCGAGACTCAGAACCAGTCCTGAGACAGAGGTGACAGTATTACTCCATACTGTATACAGGGGAAAGGATTCAGAGAAGGTCGAGAAATCATCAAAGTCATGAGGTCAGTAAGTGGCAGAATCAAGATTTGTACCCAGCGGTTCTGACCCTGAAGCCAAAATTCTGGACACTATACTATGCTACACTGAATTCTGTCATTTTAGTCAAAAGGCAAAGATTGCTCCCACACTCTGATCTCCCCAAACTGAACAGGAAAAGCCAAGGTAGGAGAGGTGCACCACACATGTCAACCCAAATGAAAGAATGCTGTGGTTCCCAAACCAGACAGGCCCCTGGCTGGATCTGTCTTGGACTTCATGGGCACTCTGGTCAGGTCTGACCAGAGTACAGACTGCGTAAAGCCTCAGTGCTTTACTACACACCCCAGCCCACTCACCCTATAGTGATGAAGTCTCCTTTGCTGACGGTGTTGGGCTCCATGCAGATGTTCATGAAGTCTTCTTTGCTCTAGAAAGGTTAGGAAGACTAATGTTAATGCTCTGAATTTTGCCTGATGCAGCCTGTTGTCATCCTTCTGCCCTGGAGGTTTGTGGCTGGGGTGTGTATTATAGAGGGGACTTGACTTTCAGTGACCTAATCCTGAATATTTTCAGTCCTCCTGATAAAGGGTATCTAAAAAAAGACCCCATCAAACTCAAGAAAGAAGCAGTAAAGCTTTTCTAAATCAGGAATAAAACAAGGACACTTGCCATCACTACTTCCTTCCAACACTGTCCCGAGGTCCTAGTCAAAGCGGTAAGATAAGTTAAAAGATTAGAAGATAAGATTAGTATTTGAAAGGAAAAAAATCAACTGTACTGTTTGCAGTTGATTTGATTGAATCTATAGAAAATCCAAAGAAACCCATAAACTTAGAATTTAGTTAGATGGCTGATGCAGCATCAATATAAAAAACCACTTACCTGTCCATCTACTAAATCAGATAGTTTAAAAAATGACATTTTAAGATCTACTTACTTACAATAGTATCAAAAATTAAGATAACCAGGAACCTACCCAGCAAAAGACAAAATGTTACAGATAAACTGTAAAACTTCATTGAAAGACATTAAAAACCTAAATAAATGAAGACACATGCCATGTTCATGATATGAGTCAATATTGTAGAAATGTCATTTTTCCTCAAATTGGTCTACAGTTCAATGTAATCCTGATCAATATTATAACAGATTTTTATGTGGAACTTAATAACATTCTCAAAGATTTATAGAAATCAGAGAGCCAAGAACAGCCAAGAGACTCTTTAAGAAGAAAAACACAGAGGGACTTATCATAAAACCATATTAAGAGAAGCACAGTACGAGTATAGAAAAACAGAGCAATGGAATAGAGACCAGAAACAAACATCTCCATGCATTCAGATACTGGACGTTTCACAGACGTTCCCTGCAGATCAGTGGGGGAGGGGGCGGTGGGGTGTGGACACTTCAATAAATGGTGCTTGGACACCTGGCTTTCTATATGGAAAGAATATAAAATCGGGAGCCGCAGCTCCACCATTCACAAAACTCAGTTATAGGTGGGAGTATTTCTTTTTTTAAATAAATATGGAATCACTGATGCAAATCATTTCAACCCGGTTTTTCATTTAACAATATATGATGAACATCCTTCCATGTCAATATAGAGAGAACATTTTAAATACATGTATCAAGATGCATTTAATCAGTCACCTGATTATTTTTTTGCACATTTTGCTATTATAAAAACAACATAGCTCTACAAGAGACCCTAATTTTCACACATTCCACATCCCTCAAGCCTCTTTCAGACTGTGAATGGACTTTTTAAAAAATGATAAATGAACATCTTGAGCTTTTACATGGTAGCTTCATTATCTTTGAATATTTTATTGCATTTGCTTTTATTTTTACAAAGAGGTTTGGAAAAAGAGAAAAATGAATGTGCTGCTCCCAGTGATAAGAAGCACAGTATCATATACTTTTATAATTGGCACAAAGATAAAAAGCTCTCGGCGTCTGAATGTGGCTAATCTTCAGCTACAATCACACACTCACTGAACTCCATCCATTCACTGGTATTCAATCATTGGAGCAAAGAACAAGGTTAAAGAACATGAACAAAAACACTGGAAATACCTATCATCAGAGACTGGGTATAAAGGAACCGTATAATTAGACATCTTATCTTTTTTAAATTCCTCTTTTTAACAATTTATTTTTTAACCTTAATACACGCACTTTCATCAACATTTTCAGAATTCCATTATGTAAGAAATAAGGGATTGTCTACATTTTGTATCATTTGATTATTTCTGTAGGATAAATTTCTAGAGATATGCTTAATAGGGCCAAGGGTATACTTATACTTCAGATGCTTCACATAGTCTGCCGAAATGCCATGGAGAAAGGGCGTTCTCATCTCCCTTCCTGTCAGAAACACCTGACTGCCCATTGTCCCATCCACACCAACACTAAACACTAGCATGCTTTTCATCTACGACAGTTCAGTATTTACTGTTTTCATTTGTGTTCCTTTCATATTGAGCACTTTTCTGTTTCCTTACCTATGAAGTTCAGATAAAAGTTGTATCTGCCTCATTAGTTATGGGGAACTGCATGAGCTGACACTAAAATTTTTAGGACTGTGCCTAGCTTGTAGTAAGTACAAGTGAATTTTTTTCATGTTTATTTCTTTGGTGAATTTCTATTTTTGTTCTTTGCCCAATGTTTATATTAATGAATATACTTCACTAATTATGTGACTATGAATTTCTGTATTTGCCCTTTGCCCATTTTTTACTGATTATCCTACAAGTTTACTGTAGCTACCCATAAAAGACTGAAATTAGAATGTTCTCTAACATTATATACAAAAACAAACTCAAAATGGATTAAAGACCTAAATGTAAGACCAGATACTATAAAACTCCTAGAGGAAAACAGACACAGTACACTCTTTTACATAAATCACAGCAATATTTTTTTTGAATCAGCTCCTAGAGTAATGGAAATAAAAGCAAAAATAAACAAATGGGATCCAATTAAACAAAAGCTTTTGCACAGCTAAGGATACCATCAACAAGATGAAAAGACAACCTACAGAATGGGAGACAATATTTGCAAATGATGCTACTGACAAGGGACTAATTTCCAAAATATACAAACAGCTAATACAGCTTAACATAAAAAAAAAAGCAACCCAATCAAAAAATGGGCAGAAGACCTAAACAGACATCTCTCCAAAGACATCCAGATGGCCAACAAGCACATGAAAAGATGCTCAACATTACTAATTGTTAGAGAAATGCAAATCAAAACTACAATGAGATATAACCTTACACCAGTCAGAATGGCCACCATTAAAACATCCACAAACGATAAATGCTGGAGAGGGTGTAGAGAAAAAGGAACCTTCCTACACTGTTGGTGGGAATGTAAATTGGTGTAGCCACCATGGAGGACAGTATGGAGGTTCCTCAAAACACTAAAAACAGACTTACCATATGATCCATTTGGAGGAAAATATAATTCGAAAAGACACATGCGCCCCAATGTTCATAGCAGCACTATTTACAACAGCCAAGACATGGAAACAA